TCCTTAATAGGGGCGTGCCCAATCTATTATATATCCATCAGTAGGGCAAATAGTAAATGGCCCACATAAATGCGATTTCTTTTGTCCTGAGTAAGATTTGCGTTGGTATTCGTTATTTGTGACTTTTTCGTGAAAAATCTATTTGCCATCACCAATAATTAACAACTGATCATCAGTAGTGTTGAATAAAACCTTCGATATATTATAAATTGAATTGAAACTATGATGGAATGGTAAATTATATTTTTCGAAACTTCGTATGATTTGTTTACAATATTCTGAAACTTGTTGCTCTCGTTCCAATTGTAATATTGAAGATTTCATTTTATTTGAAATACCTAATCGTAATTTAAAAAAAAAATTACTAATGCCTGAATAACGTTGCGCGAATGAGAAGACATTTATAATGTTAGAAGATTCGACAGTTCGATGATGTTTTCCCAATTTAATCCAGTATACGCTTTTAGTTTTTCTTAGGGCATGGTAAAATAACCTATTTGGTTAAACAGAGCAACTTCAACCTTAGCTGAAAGTAAATCCAAAAATATTGAGACTTCTTTTGCAGATAAATCACTGTACTTGGAATGAACGCGCAAGCGTGACAGTTGCATCTTCAAAAAACTTGTTTTTTATTAAATGTTGTGATCAACAACGGTCCCCATTCTGAATGAAAATCCTTCGTTTTACAAAGGCTTAATATCGAGCTTCTACTGGTATCGTATTAATATTAAATGAGCTACGAAAAATACAATATTTATGGATTTAGAAGAGTCAATATAGTGGTCGTAAGGTGGTCCACTTACTTTAATGTTTTTTTTTTCGATATGTTGCACCTTTTGGAATTTAATGAAACTTGGCATGCTGTTAGGCAAGGTGTAGTGTAACATTAATGAACTAATCCAATTGTTATAACTTTTTTTTTCTTCTTTAATTAAATACTCATCATTTAAATACGTTTATTGGAGTTTATTATTGATTGTTATAAGGTTGGCAGTAGACCGACTACTACTCAAAAACTATTAGCATACTTTTATAATCGTCTCATACAGATGTATATTTTATTGGTTCTCACCGAATCATGCAAATCGCCACCGTTCACACGCCTCGCATTTTTCTTCGTATATAATCATTTATAAACAAATCAGCTAGTCGTATATTCACAAAACGTTCGTCGCCTCAAACACTATTGTCACACTCAATTTGGTAACGGTGTCCTCACCATTTATGTTATATCGGTAATTGGTTAATTATTTATTTTAATTGCCTGATTTTAATGCAAATTGATTATTTTGGCGTGACTGGGGGTCAGGTACTAAAATGACAAGATAGGCAAGTTTTAAAACAATAACAACTTTATTATGTAAATATAAAGGAAATTAAGATAAAAGACATTTACAAAAAAAAAAGGATCTTTCCCTCAATGTAGATCAACACACACAAAAGAAACAAGTCTGTTTTACTTACATTATTGGCAGGAGCGTCGCAACCATCATCACCTAGGGGTAGTGTCACCAACACACAGAATTTGCCACCTAGTGTTCTTTGTAAGGGTAGACTTTATCCCTTCGCGTTCCGGAATCGACTGATTGCGAATCAACCATCGATCCCCGTCCACGCGCTAAACTTTCTGATGAACCAGTGATTATTTTGACCATAGTTCAACATGGGTCATTNTCTGGATCTGGAGGTAAAAAAAGGAAGACATATGTTTATTTCGAGTTTATGAAATTTCTGGATAATAAACAAGAATTGAATACGGAGGATTCAATTTTGTCAAATGAGGAGCCAAACCAAAATTAACCTGCTGAAAACAAAGGAGCTGTTGTATCTCAACGTACCGGAAATGAAAGAACTGTTGAACCTCAATCTTCAAATTCCGATGATTCCATCATTAACCGTAACAGCCAAAGACCTGCCTCTAACCATGGACAAAAATCCACGCAAAAACAACGTCAAAAAATCGCCATGAAGATAAGTTTGACAGAGAAATGATAAATTTCTTTAAAGAAAATGCAGAAGTTATGCAAAACCATGACATGGTGTTTTTCTGTTCACTGTTGCCGATTACTAATACTTTTTCTATCAAGCAAAAATTAATATTTCATCAAGAGGTGTTATAAAAAGCTATCGAAATTTTAAGGCTCGGCTCAAACCACCCAAGAACATCGCATTCTTTTACTTCATCAGATTCGCAACGTACTACTTCTATCCCGTTGTATCCAGTAGTACAATCTCCTTTTCAAACACTGCCCGGTCAATCAAATATCCAACAGTCCTATTTAGTAGAGGAATCCTCTTCTAATATCGAACAGTAGTATTTGGTAGAGGAACGGCCCTCTTCTCAGCAGATTTATATACAGACGAATGATTCATCCAATGAAAACCGTGTTTTAGACGATTTTCTTACTTGCAATAAAAAAATGTAATTTTTTTAAAGTAAATGTTGATAAAAAAAAAATTGAGTATTTTATTATTGTAACAAGTACTAACCTTAAAGTCACAGCTAATCTTTTTTAACAGGTTGGACAGAAGCTCGAAGCAGATTGGAATGTTTAAAAGTATCATGTAACCTTGCTTGCAGTTCATTGCAACTTCTGATTGACATCTTGAAAAAATCAAAAAACATTTCCTCGTATTTTTGCAACCTCCAAAATAGTTTGCAGAATTCGCCTTCAATTAACCGTTCTACAAACATTGGGTGTATATGATATCTTTGCCGCCATCTATTCCGTCGTTTGGACAAAAAAAAAATAACACGCACATATTAGAGCATTTACAGCAAAAGGATTCATTTTTTTGTTAAGTGTACACACGCGACGCAGTTCGCCGTCAGCGTAACACTGACGGTCAGCGCTGACTGTCAAGACGTACGGTCAGCGCTAACCATCGGTGGGGCACTATTTCCAGCCTCTTTTATGTCTCCAGTGCTCCCCACTACCTAATCCAGCGGACCTTGCCGACTTCTACGAGCGCACCAAAGCCGGCTCCCAGAACTTCGTTCCCTTATATTCCGACTTCAGCACTACACCCCATGAAATCTCCTTTACTATCCGTTCTCTGAAAAAGAGGAAAGCCCCTGGCCCTGACCGAATTCGAAACAGAGTCCTCAAAAACCTGCCGCCAAAGCACATTGTGTTTGGAAAAATTTTTACACCTGGTCAACTGAAAAAAATACTCCATCGCGTAAATAAAACAATACGATGGTTACGAGAAGATATCGCGTCAGCAATATCGTTACTTAGTTTTAGCCCTAAGGTCTACCGTTATTTAAGGTCATATAACTACCCCTTGTCTGCAGTTTCAACTTTGCGTAAATGGGCTGCAAAATTTTCAGTAGAACCAGGAATTTTAAATGACATCATTACTTTAATGAATAAGAAGTCATTGCAGATGAAACAGATAGAAAAATTATGTGTTTTGTCATTTGATAAGATATATCTCTCAAACAGAATAGATATAGACAATACAGAACAAAAAACAAGTGGTTCTCATAAACATTGTCAGACAGTATTTGCGCATGGTCTTATTGATAATTGGAAACAACCAGTTTTTTATGACTTCGATTAACCGATGACTAAACTCTATCATTTCAAAACATTATGAAGCTAATTGCACAGCGGTAGGCACTGTAATATGAGTAGAGGCAATACAGGACTTTGGTCAAAAATTAATTCGACATGACAAAAATTGTTTTTTCCCTCATCCCAAGAATGATTCATTGAAGGTGTTTGTATTTGCCGATGCTCCTCATCTAGTCGACGACCACAGAATCGATCAGGTAGACCGCGACGTTCGACGTCTACTTCGAACACACAGAGCGTTGAGGCTTGCTGCGGATGCTCCTTGGGTCGTTTTAAATGCGATGCTTCACCGGGACCTTGGCTAAAGAACCTACTTAGAGAGATGGCAACGAAGACGCTTGCAACCTGCCAAGCCCACCAGAACGCGCTGGTACGCAAAATAGTAAGACACATTGAGCAAACAAAGGTTTTAATAGGTCATTGCTCAAACACAACTCCCACTAACCATTTCGATATTCCCTTTACAATAGTTTGTTTATTTATTACCACATACAGATTCTATATGTATGTTTACATTCTACACCAGTTACATATATTTGTTTATATTGAAACAAGATATACATAACGAATGTATAACACTATTATTATGTTCTAGATGTTAAAGAAACATATGGCTCATTATGGTTCATATGGTATAAGTTATCTATTTATCTAAACATATGCGAAAGTCTCTGTTTAAGATTTCAAGGAGAAGTCCAAGGACTGGAACTTGAAGAAGAGGGGTTGAGTAAAAACCTCATACTACCTCACATATAGAACCAATTGCGAGGGGCCTTTTGAAGATTTCCCCTCTAGCCAAGGGCACAAAAAAAATGCAGTAGCTTTAGTAGCTACTTAGTCTCGACCCACCGCTTTTTGCGCTAGTAGCTACCTATTCGCCGTTTTTAGGTCTAGTAGCTATCAATCCACCGTTTTTAGCTTTCGTAGCTAGTGCCAGCCGCCGCTTTTCAATGCTATTGCTACACCTCCTCCAATCTCCTTTGATATCTAATATTTCCTACTCTCGTTTTGTTTAAGACCTAATATATTTACAGTTGCGGACTTTTATTGCAATTCCATTCGTTCTCTAAGTCATCAAATTGTCAACGTATGGTCCTCCTTTATTCTGTTTACTGGATCATCGAGCAATGGTTTGGAAGTCAGAGAAAAAGCCTTATTCTAACAAATCTTTAAGGTGTTCACGAAACTAATGCTATCGAGATCAAGAATGTCAATTTTAAAATCGCCGAATGTGATTTCATATTTTTTTGTTTTTAATCAGAAACTTAATTTAATTTATATACAAATTCCGTGTTAGAAAAATCGTGACACCTATTAACTGCCGACAATAATAGTGGGTTGTTGTTTCAGATAACAATAGTAGATATATGCCCTCTTTGTAAATTTGGGATTCGTCTAAATTGTATTTAATAAAATTGACTATTCCATGAAAGATACTGACTGCCGTCCCTTCCTAAGTCCATCAGGGACGGCAGCCGAGTCTGACTTTGTTTTGGAGATCCTAGCCCTTATTTCCTTAGCTGTAAAGGGCCTAAGGATGTCGTCCAACTCAATGGGCGGGACTGGATCTCCATCGATGTGAGGTAGCTGTACCACCGACTCGGTCCCCCATAACTCCTGGTACAGCTGGCGGATGTCATTCTCCTCGATCTGGTTGGTATCACCGTACCAACGCACATCCTCCCTCACATATTTGGCAAGCAGGCCTGGGTTTTTCTTATATAGGTCCTGGGTTCGGGCATAGACATACCGTCGGTAAGCATTCCTGTCTCTCGCCCTTTTCTTGGGATGTTTTTGCTTCCTTCCGCCCTTACCTGTTCCAGCCAACAGGTAAGTAAGCACGCACTCATAGATGTGATCGAGATGAGCCTGGGGGACCGCCCCTTGAAGTTCGAGTGCGTACTGGAGGGCATCCCGCAGCAGCTGGACAATTGCTGCTGACCCCGATGAGACTGCCTTCGATACATACACGGACTGTGCCAGGGCTGTTGTTATGAGTCTCTCTCTCTCCAAGCGAGGTCAGTTGGAGAGTCGGGGTCTGTTTCAATGACCACTATCTCGGGGACCTTCGGACGCCACGCAGGCTCCGCCGAGTCAGAGTCCGGCGGGGGGCTTACCGGGATTTCAGTCGCAGCCTCAGACTCCAACTGCGGCTCCTCACCCCCCGCATCCTGCCTTTCGCGACGAGCTCGGGACAACACTTCGTCGCGCCTTCTCTTGTAACTCTCCATAGTTCTCTTGTCCCGAATCTGTTTTAGGGTTTTGTTCGGCAGGAATTGCTCCATACATTTAGCGATGTGCCGCTCGTTCTGGAACCGAATCTCGAGATCTAACATCAGCGCGACCTCTTGCGGAGAGAAGACCCTAAACTTCTCCCCTCTTCGATCTCGCATCTCCTTGTTCCTTTCGGTCCCAGCAGCCCTGGCTTCGTTGCGAACGAGCGGGTGCTCGTGGACTTCATGCTGTGAAATTTCACGTTTTGTCTTGAACTCCTTCCCACAGGAATCACACTTAAACACATCGCCTTCAAGTGGGGGAGTTGGCCCAGTGCACTTGGGCATGTGGCATTCAGCGGCATGTTTCGACCGGTAGGTCTTTTGGCAGTTCGTGCACTTATAGACCGGTCTGAGGTTCGGATGAACCTCTGAAACATGCCTCACTTCATCTCTCAAGCTGAATGCCATGAAGTTGCCTCTTGCAGTGTGGAGACAAACACTGCACACCCGGTCAGTGAATGGCAACTCCAATAACAGGTCCGAGGAGGAGCCGGGTATCTCTATTTCTCTCTGCCCGGGCCTCGGCCTGAGTTGTCTTGTTGGGGGCGAACCCATCCCCCCTCGTGCCGTCTCATTGTCCGTGGACATAGCCGGGTTGTCAACGGTGGTTCCCCGTCGTGGCCTGAGCCTTCCCGGAGGGACGGAACCGTATCCTTCCTCCTCCGAGACTGCTCTCTCATTCTCTTGAGCCCCTTCTGTCCCCCGCGGAGGCAGGTCCGCGGGGCTTCCCCGATGGCGAACGGCTCCCGGTCCAAGGACCGGTCCCCGACTCTAGGGTGACAAAATGCCGGACCCTACCATCTCGCCCTGTAACGGGGGCCGCACCCGGGTACGTGCGGGAGAGTCTACTCTGACCAGACCAATCGCAAAATTGTGTGTGCTACCAGTCAACGCCTTTGAAGAACCTTTTGTCAACGCTATTGTAAAGGGGGGGAGAATGTTAAGAAATTAGCGTGATTTCACAATTCAAGACCCAAATCGACATCGACGCGAAATCTACCAGTTCATAGACTACTCACGCTGCAGAACACTCGTTTACCGAGTGTCTACGACCTTTCCTCGCTACTCGTATCTGGAGCGGAGGACGACTGCCGGCGACCATGAAACCAGAGTTGCTTTTTAACGTGCTAAAGGCAACCCGTGTTGATCTATTTATTTCCGATAAACTCAATTATACCAATATTTAGTGTTATAATTTAGGTTTTTGTGTTTGTTTGAATTCCCTCTTAGTTTTTTTTTTTTTCGAACTTTCACTGTAATACTCACGGTTTCAGATTGTTGCTTCTCGCATTGTATTTCTAGTACAAATACCTAATCGTAATTTCATCAAAAAAATCACTAATGCCCGAATAACGTTGCGCAAAGGAGAAGACTTTAATGATGTTAGGAGATTCGGTAGTTCCATGATATTTTCCCAACTTACTCCAGTATACGCTTTTAGTTTTTATTGGAGTATGGTAAAATTACCTATTTGTTTAAACAGAGCAACTTCAACCTTTGCTGAAAGTAAATCTAAAAATATTGAGACTTCTTTTGCAGATAAATCACTGTAATTGGAATGAACGAGCAAACGTAACAGGTCATCTTCAAAAAACTTGTTTTTTATTAAATGTTGTGATCAACAACGGTCTCCATTCGGAATGAAAAACCTTCATTTCACAAAGGCTTCGAACTTCTATTGATATCGTATTAGTATTAGATGAGCTACAAAAAACTATTAGCATACTTTTATAATCATCTCATACACATGTATATTTTATTGGTTCTCACCGAATCATGCCAATCGCCACCGTTCACACGCCTTGCATATTTTCTTCGTATATAATCTTTCATAAACAAATCAGCCAGTCGTATATTCACAAAATATTCGTCCCCTCAAACACTATAAAGAAGTAAAACCAGTCTAACAATAATAATTCTTAAAACTATATCTCAATATTCTTACTGCAGTCTTTCTAATTATAAATTTCTCACAAATTGTAGTACATATCACACAGCAAACTATGCAATCATGTGAAATATAAAAAAAGAAATTGAACCTAACTAGGTATACATTATAACTATCCTATCAAGCCTAAGTTACCTAGTTTCATCTGAACGTTTTCATTATTTAGACGAAATAAAAACAAGTGCCTACAGAAAATATTACACTATCGGTTGATATTGAAGACTTTCAATAAAGAGCTAAACTAAGTTCAGAAACCTATGGACCCGAATCTCGATTTTACAATGTGATATAGTAAAACCTGAAATAAATTTTAATATGAATCTTAATAAATTCATCNCAATAATTAACAACTGATCATCAGTAGTGTTGAATAAAACCTTCGATATATTAGTCGTATGATTTTGAATTACCTGCTGTCTTGAAATTAAATTGATACCATGATGGAATGGCAAAATATATTTTTCGAAACTTCGTATCATTTGTTTACAATAATCTGTAACTTGTTGCTCTCTTTCCAATTGTAATATTGAAGATACCATTTTGTTTGAAATACCTAATCGTAATTTCATCAAAAAAAATCATTAATGCCCGAATAATGTTGGGCGAAGGGGAAGACTTTAATGGTGTTAGAAGATTCAACAGTTCCATGATGTTTTTCCAATTACATCCAGTATACACTTAGTTTTTCTTCGGGAACGGAAGGTCACCTTTTGCCATCACCAATAATTAACAACTGTTTATCAGTAATGTTGTATAAAGCCTTCGATATATTAGTTGTATGATTTGGAATTAGCTGTTGTCTTGAAATTGAATGGTAAAATATCTTTTTCGAAACTTCGTATTATCGGTTTGCAACAAACTTGTTGCTCTAGTTCCAATTGTAATATTGAAGATATCATATTGTTTGAAATACTGTTAAGAAATTAGCGTGATTTCACATTTAAAGACCCAAATCGACATCGACGCGACATCTACCAGTTCATAGACTACTCACGCTGCAGAACACTCGTTTACCGAGTGTCTACGACCTCTCCGTCTTTCCTCGCTACTCGCCTCTGGAGCGGAGGACGACTGCCGGAGGCCATGAAACTAGAGTTGCTTTTTAACGTGCTAGAGGCAACCACGTGTTGATCTATTTATTTCCGTTGAACTCAATTATACCAATATTTAGTGTTATAATTTAGGTTTTTGTGTTTGTTTGAATTCCCTCTTAGTTTTTTTTTTCGAACTTTCACTGTAATCCTCACGATTCCAGATTGTTGCTTCTCGCATTGTATTTCTAGTACATTTTTTGGTCCTTCGAGCCGGTAGTGAGGTTTTAAGTGAATTTTCGTGAACGTAATCAGTGTTTCGTGTGTGTTGGTGCTCATATACTGATTTTTATTTGCGAGTACCGACATCTTCGGGTTTTTTTGTGTGTGAATTCGCCTTTGTGTTGCTTGACAACAACGCTTGTCCTGCGACGCTTGTTCAGTACTCTCCTTCAGCGCTTGTGCGTGAAGCAAGGTGCGCTATAGTTTCTCGCGTTAGTTGTTTCTCACTCTCTAAAATGGCGGCTAACAAACTCGCTCATCGTATTCAGCTTCAAGAGCAGCGCGTTACAGCCATTGCTAACATGGCGGCTAAAGGAGAAGCTGGTGCGTTTTCTGCAATTAATCGCTACACAGTTTCCTTCAAAATTGATCTTCTCGAGCAGACTTGGCTATCCTTCTCAACGATGCACATGCAACTATTCGATGGAAAATGTGAAGGCTTGTTAGAGACGATTTACGTAAAAAAAGATGTGTACAACCAATGCCTCCAACATTACCAGAGCGCCAGAATTTCTCTACTAGAGAGAAAGGAAGAGCTTGACAAGACTTCCTCTACCCCGTCGGGGACTGCAATGTTTGAGAATTCATTCGCTACCGGAGGTTCATCACAACTTCAGAAGTTACTGGAAATCCAGCTTCTTACCTTCACTTGGGAGTATTCAGAGTGGAAACATTTCCAACAGTTGTTCGTTTCGCTAGTTGGAAACAATGAGACACTCTCACCTGTCGTCAAGATGCACTATCTTAAGAAACAGGTGAAGGGACCCGGTGGAGATCTAATCGCTAGTTTACCAATCACTGGAGAGGCATTCGCTACGGCCTGGGATTTATTAGTTGCTCGCTATGACAATCCTAGACTGATGTTATCTGCCCATCGGGCCTTAAATGACCTCCTGAGTTCAACCACCAAGGCCATTGAGTCCATCAAGGGTCTTAACGTCACTACGGATACCTGGGATCCGATTCTTGTGTACCTTACTGTCAGTAAGCTTGATGATCGTTTGAGAGAAAGCTGGGAGAACCATCTAGGGTCTTCAACTGAGTTTCCTGCTTTCTCTTTTCTCACGCAGTTTCTGACGGGACGAGCTGGCGCTATGGAGACGCTCGAGATCAACACTCCTGTTTCCACGTCATCTACTGAGTCCACATCCTCCCGCCAGTCAGTGAAGTTCATTGCTTCTCGTAGCTCCGCTAGAGTTCATATTTCTACCGCTGCAGCCAGGTCAAGTAAGCCGGGGTTGTGTGCCATCTGTGAGAAGAAGCACTACGTTCTTTTCTGCCCCACTTACCAAAATGCAGATGGACCTGAGGGCAAGTTGGAACTGGTAAAACAGTACAACTTGTGTTTCAACCGTTTGGGGCGACACAAAATTGAGAACTGTGAGATCAAACAAGGGTGTAAGAAATGTGGCAGTCCACATCATATTTCTACCCATTTTGAACGCCCTTCTGAGGCTCGAGAACATGGTTCAACGCAATCTACCTACGCTGCCTCAGGAACATCGAACCAGGCTGAAACTCAACAATGACAATGACTATTCAAGTAAACTCTCCTGTGTTACTCGCTACTTCTAGAGTTTTGGTTTCTTCGCTACGAGGTCATTCGTTACCTGCTCGAGCACTCATTGATCTAGGCTCTGAGTTGTCATTTATCTCGCTACAGCTATTCAAGAGGCTTCAATGCCCTCGCCAACGATCATCGCTTTCGCTACATGGTATTCGAAATTCGTCTGCTGGCAATACTCTTGGAAAATGTCAACTTGAGCTGCATTCGCTACACTCATCAGCTGTGATACCTATCACGGCTCATATTCTGTCAACAGTTACATCTAATTTACCCTCATTCAACTGTCCAGCCCATAATTGGCCTCATCTCTCTGGACTACAGTTGGCAGATCCAGAGTATTTTTTGCCAGGTGAAATTGATCTTGTGCTCGGCGCTGTTCCAACTGGGCTAATTCTTGACGGAGAGATTCTGAAGGGACCTCCTAACACTCCTGTTGCACAATCTACCGCTCTTGGTTGGATTGTTTTTGGGGCTGCTGATCATGCAACCAACTCTACAACCGCTAAGGGGGGCTATGGATATCATGCATCCGCTGATGATGATATTCAAGAGCTTCTCGCTTCCTTTTGGACCCAAGAGACGATTCAGTCTTCTTCTACTGTCATTCTTAGTCCTGATGAGGCTGAATGTGAGCATCACTTCGCTACTACTCACGCCAGAGATTCTTCAGGACGCTATGTGGTTCGCCTTCTGCTGAAACAGTCTATTGAACGCTTAGTTCACTCTACTACAACTTTATGAGTGAGTATGAACAACTTGA